CTGAAAACGCCGGTAACAGTTGGGATTTTCTCCCCGAGCCCCCTTCTTCTTCATCAAGCAATCGAGTCGACACATATTCGTCGCTCGTCTCTACTATATTTATCATCTTCGGTGTTACATCATCACCTGTAGATATTTCTGAACCTGTATCGATATCTGGCTCGGCGTCTACCTTGTCACGACGCCTGCCTTCTTCCTATTTCGTAGCCTGAGACCAATTCTTGGTGGTCTCAGTGTTCTTAACGTAACTGCCTCGTCTGGGCTGGTTGGAACTATTCGCTGGGTACTTTTTCTTATACGTAGCGTTAGCAGCGTTCTGCTTAGCCTGAGGCTTCGCTTTTCGTTCGTCGGGTCTCTTTCTCGAGCTCACGTTGTATACCCCCAGCGGTTTCAATATCTGCCCGGTCTCTATGCGATGCATGGTACCTTCTTTACCATACGCTATGCAACTCAGTAGGATGTTTACTGATAAATCATGTGATATCAGTCCTTGGTCTATCAACTGATTGATCCTCGCAATCAGCTTATCTGAGTCGTCGATTTCTGGGTCAACCAGTGTCTTCCGCAATATCTTGTTTCGTACTTCAAAGGCTTTGTCTGGCGACATGCGCACACCTTTTAACTGACTTAGCATCTGGCCTGGGTCGCCCATCATGTAATCTATGTGGGACCACTCGTCAGTCGTTAGCGTATGTCGTCGGTCTCGTCTATGCCCGTCAGAGCTTCTGTCGGAGTAATACACCTCTTCCAACACTGGCTGTGCGTTCATCGATTGTTGTTGACTCTGTACCGATGTCAGATCGAGGGTTGGTGGTCGTACGGGTTGCGCTGGCACAGCCTCCTGAATCTTCCGGTGGGTAAAGGCAGGCTGTTCAGCCTTCTCCTTTGCCGCGATCACCGCCTCTAACTCCTTAATAAACGATGTCGTCAACAGCACCCTGTTGTATTGAAGTAACCTCTGACAGTCGAGGGTCGTACAGACTTCTCCCCATATCTTAGGCGGGATCGCCTGTACCCTAACCACATCCATATTCCCGCTCTTATTCGCCTCAAGAATAATGGTGCGGGCCTCTTTATGTACGTCCATTGTTGACCGAGTCTCAACCATATGGAATAGTAATCAAGTTCAAGTGTAAGTGCAGATCAATGTTCAAAATGCCTTTGCTTTTCACGAAGAAAAATTATGATGATTGAATAATTAAAAACTCTTTAAGAGGGGAGACGGTGTCTCCTAGAATAAAAATCGGCCGGATTCTGGCCTCCTGGGATGTGCTGATAACTTGCCTTATACAAGGCCCGGATACGGGCTGCGTAGACCTCCAAGTCGTTTCTTGGATCCTCTCGTCTTTCGAGAGCTTGCCACAGCCTCATGTTATCCGTGACGATCACTTTTCTCGCCATCTTGTCAATAAAGTCAATCGCAGACTTGTACTTAGCCAGGAGCTTATAGGCTCCCTGTATTTCTTTGTACGAGGCTAAGTTTGTCGAAGTCTTTGTTAAAGGTATCGACTCTGCCATGACTCGTTGGTCATTATACGTGACCACCATCCCAGCTTGCGTATCCGATGCGTCGACATAAATCGTAATCGTGTTGCCCTTCGAGGGTCTTATACGTTCGATTTCCCATGGGGAGTCGACTGCATCAATTAGATCTCTGACCACGTTCGTCACGTGTTTCGTCTTAAGTAATATTTGACGAATCTTCGTCAACGAGTTTCGAACGCCCGCCCTGTGGATCATTTTATAATATGACAATTGGTGCGTCGCTCGCGTTACGCTATCCACACATTCTGAGTGTAGTAGCTTTCTGATCTGTTCAGCTTTGTCTTTGGGAATTCCAATAGACGTTTTAGTGAACTCGTATCCAAGTATCACTAATGTAGTATTCGTAGATGACTTTTCTTTATTAATCTTAAAGCCAAAGTCTCGTAGGTGACGTATCACTCTACTATACCGGTCGGAGCATTCTTTTCTATCTTCACCGGCTACTATTATGTCATCTTGATAAGATCTTACGTGCGTCTTATCAATATCATGTAGCTGTCCCAACACTTTCATCATTACGACTGCGAAGTGTTTTGGGGCACACATTGCACCCATCGGCATGCGCACATACCTGTACGCCGTGCCGTCCGTTCCGAGAAACGAGTAGTAGTTCATCTGGTCTTCCGCGATGGGGATGGCATGGAATGCCTTCGACAAGTCGATCTTCATGATCTCCTGTTGTCCGGCCGCCCATGCGATCACTGGTCCAATC